CAAAATTGAAGGCCATAAAAATTATGTTCTGTTTGAGCAATAATGATTTTATAGAGAGCATTTTATGTTTAATTTCGTACATTTTCTAGGAGTGATGGATAAAATAGGGATGATGACATGCTAAGACAAAATTGGTCATGTGTGTTACACTAGTGGAAATTCAGGATTTTTTTATAAATTTTCTTTTAGAATTAAAACTTAAAACTTGTATACTATTAAAATATGAATTATTAGCTAAGATTTTATGCAATTCTAATTGGTATAACATAAACAAAAAGTAGTTTTTATAAAATTTTGAATATAAGACACTAAAGTTTGTGTCATGCGCAGTAAAGGGTACTCGTGCCGATAGGGTTAATGTTATAACTGTTTTCACCATATCTTTCACATCTTAATCAATACCATATGTGATCTTAGGAAAAAATACTATGTAGTTGAAGGTTGCATTACTCCTCATGTGCCAGTTCTTACTAGAAAACTGAATAATTTGGACAATAACTAGGACATGAAATAAGTAACCGATAACACACAACAATTTTGTTTCAACTGTCTCATAGGTTAGTGGGCATGATTATGCTTTACTAGGTTTTTCATAGTAAAAGTTTATATTTGTACAAGTGTTAAAGCGGTTTGAATATATACATATACTAAATGTCTTCATAAGTAAACTTTATAAAAAGCTAAAATGAGACAATAGAGATGCATAGAACTAATTGGCATTTCTTCTACAATTGATCCAGATGCTGAATAAACTGCAGTTGAAGCATTAACTTGTGTTGTTTTTTTCCAAAAGTCTCATCGTAACTATTTACAAAGTTTTCTTGTATAGTATCAGGGGTACCCCTTAATTTTAAACCATTTTCACATTTTATTTTGGATCTGGTTAAGTATGTGGTTTAAACTTTGTTCCTTGTTTGTTGAACATACAATCCTTGTAGAACTTTTAACTTTACAAGTACCTGCATCAAGATAACCTCTTCTTTTGTCTTGCAGGAAATGCATTCACAAAAGTACAGGAAAGGAATATGCTGTTAAAATCATTAGTCGACGTGTTGACAGCAGAAGAGAAATAAAACTTTTGAAACTCTGCCAAAACCACCCTAACATAGTAAAATTCAAGGATGTGTTTTGTGATGAGGTACACAAGTGTGCAAGATAACAAGTGTTAGAACATATGGCTGTGATATAATATTCATGTGATGTAAAATCCATCTAATTATAAAATTATTATTGTAGTTTACAAATTAAGTTTCTTTGATTCAGAAGGAAAAAATAAGAGTAAATATCTGTCTTTTTACTATTTGCTTTTGTTTGTGGTTTTTGTATATCTTAAAATTTGAAACATATCCCATTTTACTGTGAACTTATACATTTCAGTTTTAAAACAAATCATTTTAATTTTCAAAAATCAAGCTTCCATTTAAGAAACCTTGAAACCAAGATGTGGCTGTAGGTTATTTTCTTTGAGCTTTACATTATATTTATACATTACACATTTATAAATATAACACACATTATTTGAGTTTTGATCTTAGATGAATTCAAAGTTAGTTAGTAGAGATACAACTACCATATATTTGTTTAAATATTTTTGTCTGGTTTCATAGCTTGTGTTTTGTAGTGACAACTAAAATTGTGTAAAAACTAGCAGTAACACTTTATCATTAATCTGATACATGGTGATTATGTTTATTTAGGTACATACTTACTTGGTATTAGAATTACTGAAGGGAGGTGAACTACTAGAGAGAATAAGGAAGAAGACTTGCTTTACTGAAACCGAGGCTTGTCATATTTTTCGGCAGCTCGTCTCAGCAGTTCATTACATGCATTCCCAGGGAGTTGTTCATAGAGACTTAAAGCCAGAAGTAAGAACAATAGAGCTACTTGAAATGATATAAATATTTTAATTCTCCATTTAACAGACATTTTCTGTCATACCAAGTCCACAAGAAATTAGTTTGTACATAAAAAAAATCTGAAAATTTTGTTGGTAAACATTTATAGTTAGGTATTTTTATCATACTTTTAATGTATAACATAATTATACTAATAGAACAAGTTAGGAATCTTTTAGGCAATTACAGATGATGAAAATCACTTTTGACTAAAGATGGTGTTTTTTTTTTAAAACATTTCTCTTATTTAATCCGTTAAGATTTTAAAATAACGTGTGTATAAAATGGCATCATAAGCTGCTTTATATGAAATATGAAATGAACTGGATACAATGTGTTAAAAATATACTTTCAAACATAATGTTTTCTAAAAATAAGTAAAAATTAGCTATATATATTTTATCTTTAGTCTAATACATGGTTTGTACGTTTATTTAGGTACATGCATACTTGGTATTAGAACTACTGAAGGGATGTGAATTGCTAGAGCAAATATGAATGAAGACAAGCACTAGAGTATATATGTACATTGATACTAGAAAGATCTGGGTTAGCTAAAGGGTCAATAACTGAATAAGGCGTTTTTTATATGGTTTATTTGTTTCCCAAGCAAAAGCAAAAATCATTGCCTCTTAAACCTCAAAACTCTTAGCTCCCCAGCCTTTAGGGCTCTTATGCCTATGATGTATGTGTAATTATGTTTTTATTAACAGCAAATGTTTTTTTCATCAGCTTCAGTAAAACTTTTCATTAAAGTTTTATGCTTTACATTAGTAAATACAGAACTTTCTAAAGGTTTATGTGGTTTTAAGTTTCATCAAAATACTAGGAATGATTGTGCTTACAAACCTGAAAAAAGTATTTGACACATAACGTAATTGAGTTTGAAGTAAGACACCAAGCAATGATTTTGTAACTCCCTGCATTTTGTAGTTTAATGCCTATTACAATTGTTAACCCTAATTTTAAGATCAAATGGCAAAACTAAAAAAAATCGTAAAGAATTTATACAAAGTCCTTGTTTGTTTGTTTTTCACTTTAAAAGTAAAATTAATAAATAATTTCATGATGCTCTATGCGTAAGTAGAACTTTTTTGAACCTAAATTTTTATTTAATCAAGAATGGAGCAAAAGATGATTGGTTTATATATTAAGTTTGATTTAATTTCTTGAACTGGACATATGAAGAAATGTCACTGTAATTCAGCCTGTAAGATTACTATAGTTACCATTTGCTAGTACAGTAATATAACTAAACATTATATGTTTCTGATTTACATAAATATTGCATAAGCTCTTACAATCTATAAGGTTAATATCACTCACAACTCCATGTTTAGTGAAACAAGTTTTTTCTTACTGTAGGGAAAAGAAAATATGTACAAGCTTATTTGCATTATATTACTGACAGTCATTTTCCTTTAGTTCCATGTCGATGTTTCTGGCAAAGAGATAGACTACAGAACTAACGATTTGTGAAAAGCACTCTGAGACTCCAGTGCTTTTATTTCTATCCTTATTTTTTCTCCTGGTGAAAGTTTTTACAATGTTTAGGAACTAAGACCATTATGTTGTTTTTCTTTTTAACATCTTCTAAATTATTAGTTTAATAAAGTAACTAAATAACCATGTGAGATTAATAATTGTAATAAGGTGAAAAATATATTTATGTTATGAATTTATCTTCCTCCAGAATCTATTATTTGCCAATGAATCTGAGGGATCCTTGATTAAAGTTATAGATTTTGGTTTTGCTCGTCTTAAACCTCAGGGAAACCAGACAATGCAAACACCCTGTTTTACACTGGATTATGCTGCTCCAGAGGTGTTAAAGCAAGCCCTTTTGTCTCCTACAGGGTCTGGTGGAGCAGGTTATGATGAATCATGTGACTTGTGGAGTTTGGGAGTGATTGTTGTAAGTTATATAGTTTTATCTTTTAGTAGTGTAATCATGACAGGATTTTTTTAGCATTAATTTCAGCTTCACTTAATGCTACTTATTTACTGGCTTTCTACTTACAGCAGTATGATTGCCTCTTAATCTTCTAAATTTAATTCAACTCTCTCAACATGGGCTTAGTCAATTTGACCAACCATGTGACCTCTTTGTATTCGTTTAAAGTCTTCATAGACTTAATAGTTCTAACTTTCAATATAATGTGTATATCTTCACAAAATTTGGCAGTTTTGGTTAATATTACAAGTCTTTCACATACTTCACTAAAAAATATGATTTTTTGTATTTTTAATATAATAAAATATAGATTTTTCCAAGAATATATTGAGTATTTGTTTTGAATAGTCTGTGTGGAAAGTAATTTTCATGTTAAAATTAAAAATACTTTTCCTCATTTCAAAAATCTCAAATTTCCTTTGTGTAATCCCTGAAACCTCTTAAATGCATTTCAAATGTTGTTGTTTTTTCAGTAAAACTTTATAGTTTATCTGTTATTTTCTCTACCCTATCTTAAAACGGAATTGTAAAATTCGATCGACCTCATAACCACCAAAAAATAAATAAAAAAATCTAAACTATCCTTTTTTTTTCTTTCTAGAATGACTTCAAATTGTAACATGAAACTACATTTGTTATCCTAAGTAGCTCTAAGTTCATAACAGTATACATCTATTTATAATTAAATTTTATTGTTTTATTGACCTTTGAATCATATCTAACTACTATTCATGCCATTATAAGATGTTAATCACTCGGGGAAGGTGCAGCTCACGTTACGCTAACGATGAATTTGTAACGACTCTTGTCGCATAGTTAGAAAGCCAGAAATATTTTGATAGGTAAGGGAATTTGTCTACTTTTTGCGTGTTATTAGTCTATATTCTTTGGTGCATTATTTAATTAAATAAAAATTATTAAGTGCATTACTATCATTAGTATATAATAATTAGAGTTAACTCTCTTTGACAATCGACAGCAAGAAAAAAGAAGATTGATTAAGTATTATATTTCTTGTTTTTCATGTTTATTCTTTATGTATAATTATAAAAGTAACTAAAATGTAAAAATACGGATCCTTTTAGGTTAGTTAAGATTAGATTAGGTAAAATAAATAATAATAATATTATAATAAAAATGTTTCATGAGTCACACACGCGAGCAGCTTGTAGTAGCTTATGAGTAATGTAATTCGTTAGCGTAACGTGAGCTGCACCTTCCCCGAGTGATTAACATCTTATAATGGCACGAATAGTAGTTAGATATGATTCAAAGGTCAATAAAACA